AAGTAACTAGATGTCTGATATGTAACTGTTCTTCTATGAGTAGGCTACGAATTCGTATTTCAAAGAAAACTACAGTACTGACCTCTTCGTGTAGGCTGCATCCAAACAATCCTTACAAAATCGATGTCCACATTTTGTCTGCACGGGTTTTCGCATTACAAGATGACAAATACTACAAATATAGTCTTGATGTACATCCTCGACAAACTGATAGTCGTATCCAGACGGTAATTCAATGTTACTAGCCATTATTTCAACGGTCAACTTTTCGTTCGACTTTGTACTATTTAGAAGTGAAACTAGACGCTCATAGATCACTTACCTGGGCTCTCTACGATGCGCGATTAGAAGTATGTTACAATAAGTACATTAAACGAATCTAAATTAGTTTATGTTTATTCGAGTTGGTCTATTTTTCATGTTTCAGTTCATTAGCTTGATTTTAACCTAGTTCATAAGTTTGTATTTTTACTAATACTAAACCTCAATTTAGACAATTAAAGGTAACAATCTAGAGAATTCTTTTGTGATTATGATATATCTACAAATCAGTACCGATCCATTCAGGAGACCCATGACTCATTCCATTTTTACTGAGAGTTTGTGGTAATCATGCATCACTGTTTATAGATAGTTTGGTCCATAGTAATACTGTTACCTACTTTTGCTGTTCCTAAAATGAATAGTTTACAGTATATTTACAGAATCTGTAAATTGATCAACTTTTCTAGTTTCAGCAATACTGACAAACTTATTTCGGTCTTAGTTTGGTCTTCCTGTGTACATGTAATTGTTAAGATCGGCGCTTGGTCCGGCTTGAAATCATCTTATATTAGTTTTGTGGCGAAGGATTCTCCAACTCAAACTTGATGAAAAGTGCGCCATCAACAACATAGCTCTCAGTATCTAATGTTCCATGAGATACAAATTTGTCATATCCCATTCCCTGATCATCACCTGTTGTTGGTCTTTGAAAATTAGGCAAATTGATATCGGGCGTCGCGAATCCTTTAGTAATTGTTTTCCTGGTAGTGTGGTGTGTTTTCTGGTCAAGCAGGGTAAACTTGAATTTGCAATTAAATGGCCATTTGTCCTTGAAATTATCTCATCTTTGTGGAGAAGGACTTTCTAGCTGARCTTCGATGAAAAGGACTCCACCYTGAACGTAGTTCTYCGTYTTTAAAGTATCATGAGAAACAAAACAAGGATATCCATACCCTGCATTCATAYTTGTTGTTGGTCTTTGGAAGCTCGTAGCATCACTTACAGCATCAGGATCAACGAAACTACTATCGATATTTTTCCGGTTGACATGGTCTGGTCTCTGGTCAAGCAGGGTAAACTTGTATTTCCAATTAAATGGCCAGGTCAATATTGCATCGTATTCACCTCGCATGATAATCATGAATACTGATACATGGGTACCCTTGCCAGCACCAACTCCATTAGGATATAACATCAGTTTCAGTTTGYACCCATACTTGTGAGTGTAGAACKGTTCACTGTACAGTATGATGTCACGGTTTTGCTGCTTTGCAAGATGTAGCTGTTGGCTGAAATCGTTGACTTTCCAGAGGTAACTGCAACTTGATTGATYGTCTTTAAGTTCCAACATTTGYTCCTGAAGTCTCTTGTTCTCATCTTGCAGCATCTTAACATTTCCTTTAAGTTTCTTGTTGTCATCTTGCACCATTTTCATGTTTCCTTTAAGTTTCTTGTTGTCATCTTGCATCATTTTAATGTTTCTTTTAAGTTTCTTGTTGTCATCTTGAAGAGGCAAGAGTTGTTGTGTCGTGATGGAGAGATGTTCTGCCAAGCTGTTCCTATAATGATTGTTTAAGGATCTTCTTGGTCCCTTGAAATAACAAACGATCGTCAAACAGAACTGTTACAATGAACTCTCGCTTTACGGACACCGCGCTATAACGGACACCTCAATATCACGGGCACGAAAATCAGTGCTGAATCCCAGAGAAAAACACTACAAAGAAATGACTGAAAGTAACTCCCGTTATTTTACGAACTCACGCTACTAAGAACACTAAATTATTTTACCGAGGGTGCCCGTAATAGCTAGAGCACACTGTAATGTGTTATTTTCATTGTGAGATATACCAACAAGGGGCCATTTTGCATGACTATGCGCGCGAGCAGCTGTACTGTCGCATTGTTACTTGCAGGCTCACAACAGGCTACCCGCTCATTCATTTGTTACAAGACGGCAAAGAGATATCGTGCCTTCCTTTATTTCTCTATATCTTCTCAATATATTTCTCAATATCAAAGAATTACTATAAAAGCTACAGTAACCTCACGAGCAGTTTAACGGTTCTATGATACGATTGTTTACAGTCGAGTTCGTAATGTTATATTTCGTTTAGAGATCGGAGGGCTATCGGGAGACCGGAAGGCAAATTTCTGACATGGAAAAAAACAACAACAAAATTATACGCGCTGCCTAGGGCCTGGTCACGAGTAATTAGCTCCTGTCTTTAGCTAAAAACAAGTGGATATGAGTTTTATTTCATACTATGACAGGTCTGACAGGCAAAACGGCAGAGCATTCATTGTACTGTAGAGTATTGCAAATTTACCAACCTTAGCCAATTTTGTAAGAACTTCAAATTTGATATATCAGAAGCAAAGAAACAAACGACATCAAATCAAATGCAATAAGTGTGGTATTTTCTCACACAATTCAGATATGTAATCATTAATTATAGTAACCACATTAGCATATTAGTCATGTATTTGATTCTTCATAAAATAGCAAAACAATTGTCCGATCGCCGCTATATCGTCAATGGCCTTTTGTAATGTGTATAACATGTAAATACATCTGATTTCATGTTCGAAAATTTCAAAGTTCAAGAGTTTTGACCAATTCATAATGACCATGTAAACAATGCTTACAATCTTGAAAGGCCAAAATATCCATCTTCGCCAATTTTTGAATCAAAGATCATCCATGAAACACCATCAATACATACAATTATAATCATTTCTGCTTGGTATGCATTGGTATTTTCACTAGATTTAAAAATATTTCAAGATGAAGAATGGGGAAGAATGTTAAAAATCGCGAATTTAACAATTATCGCATAAACGCTGTGTAAACCTTGTCGCTCTGATTGCAAGCGAATTCAAAACAACATGTTGTCACAAAGTACAAATAGCATAAAATTTACATACAGCGCTTTCTTTCCTAGGATATACCAACGACACTAAAGTATGCTTTTAACCACATTTCAGTCGCCATTTTATCTTCTCCATGTCAGTCACCTTGTATGACTTTTAAGTATAGTTAAAGCAGATATACTCCAGAAATTTAACTTGAATAGCACCTACAACACATATTCGATACTAGACTTGATGTTTGAACCTTATTTAAAAACCAAGTGCGAGGTCTTCCATTGAAATTCAAGACCGAGGGCCGTCTTGAATTTCAATGGAAGACCTCGCACTTGGTTTTTAACCTATATCAATTACTTGTTGAAGAGTAACTAGACGCTCTTGGAGCGCGAAGTCGGACTAGCTGCTTTTGAAACTAATTGAGAAAGACAGGATAATAAAAATATAAAAATTAGAATAAAATATATATCTCTTAATTTTTCTCCAAAATAGCCGAACTCACGGTCTAATATGAGCGTCTAGTTCAAAATATCCGAACTCTCTTGAGGCTTTAAATAAACTTGACCTAAAAGGTCATGTAATTGAATTTAATTAACACCGCTATGAACGTTTTAAAAGAGTCCTTGCTTTTACTGATAAAATCAAACGTAGACAACATGTCGCTAAGTGATATCATGAAATCTAATACATTGACCTCTCAGGCCAAGAAAATAAATACTTTACAAAGTAAATCATACCTATAAAATCATTAAAG